ACTGTTCTGTTATATATAATTTGACTATGCTAAAGTTAAGACCTTTCTTTTTGTTTAAACAGAAAAGAGGAGATGTTGGGGGGAAGTCCTGTGCATTTGTCAATAAAGCACTGCTGGCCTATAGGGAATCAAGATAGGTGGGACTAGGAGTCCAGGAGGACTCTGGGAAGTAGAAACACAGGAGAGTCAACATGTAACCGCCATGGGGTAGGAAGCCCAGAACTATTCTCCGGTAAGAGAAATACTTAGATTAACAATTATGGGGTAATTACTTAAGTCTGAGCTAGCCAGTAAGAGACAAGCAAGGCCAACAGCTTCATAATTAATACAGCCTCTTGTGTGTTATTTGTGGACTACAAAGCAGCAGAGCCCAGGCGACTGGCGCAGGACTTCCCCAACACACTGGGCCTGGTATGGGCTTTCAAAATCTCAAAGCCTACCCCTAGTGGCATTCCTATTCCAATGAGGTCATACTTCCTAAACAGCTCACCAATGGTGGACCAAACATGCAAATCTGTGAACCTATGGGAGCCATTCTCATCCAAACCACCACAGTGGTCCTGTTCTGTATGAGTGCAGAGGTTCTGACTTCCCAAGTACTATCTCTTCAGACATTCTCCTTCAAGTTAATTTGTATTTTTATACCTTGGGGACATCTTCAGGTGGCAGACAGTCTTCCAGTCACCTTTCCTGTCTCCCCGTGTAGTATCTCTGTTTCAGAGCTATTTACATTTTCGTTTTACTCACCTTGTCCACGACTGCCTTGTGTGCAGTTTCAAAAGTCAACAAATATCTTTCCTCACCAAATGGTACACGATTACAATGTTCTGTGCCATGTTTTGGTGTGGGTTTTCACTATGAACCTAGATAAATGGAGTGAGCAATAATGGTCTGAACACTTGGTTATCTTGAATTTTGGGCCACCAATCAGCATCCAAATCATGATGGAGACTTATTATTAATTGTGAATGCTGGGCCTAATTTAGACACACTTCTGTCTAGCTCATTGAACTTAGATTAACCGGTTTCTCTTTGGCTACCTTTTGCCTTGGGGACTTTTACTTTTCTTTCCATCTGTATATCTTACTTTGACTGCTTCTTGTGTTTGCTGTCTGGCAGTGGCGGCCATGCTTCTTACCCTGGGGCATGTCCCCCTATTTCTCTTCTCTTTTTCTTCTCCATTCTTCTTCTCTAGCCTAGATGTCTCCTCCTATTCATTCTCTCTGGCCTCCAGTCTCGCCTATCCTATGTCTGCCTAGCTATTGGACATTCAGCTCTTTATTAGACCAGTCAGATGCCTCAGGCAGGCAATGTAAAACAAATGTGATACATTTTTACATAATTAAACAGATGCATTACAAACAAATGCAACATACCTTTACGCAGTTAAAATAATGTTTCACAGCATAAACAACTATAACACATTATTTTGCCCAGTTAAAATAATACCCCACAACATATCCTCAACAAAACAAATTAGTCCCTAAATTCATTCTAGTTTAAATGTTATGAACATGGACAGAATGCAGCCAAACATTTTACCATAATATACTATGAGTAGCATCTATCCAAGAAAATCCCTGTTCTCTACCTGAAACCTCATGAGGTTGGCCTTGACTGTCCATGTTTCCATCCTGACCTTTTGCACTGCCACCAGAATAGCCTATTAAGCTCTGATTACAGCATTATGAGGCTCCTTTATTCCACAGCTAAAGTGTTTCCTATATCCTTTCCTCAAACCAGTTCTGAAAGCTTATGAACCAATGGTCAGGTTTATCACTCTAATGACCCTACTCCTTGGTACCTTTTCTACATCAGCTACTGCCCTAGTTTGCTTTACTATTTCTGTGATAAACACCACAGCCAAATACAACTTGGGCAGGAAAGGGTTTGCTTCAGCTTACAACTTTCAGGTCGTAATCCATCATTGAGGGAAGTGAGGACATGAACCCAAGGCAGGAACTTAGAGCAGACACGATGGTAGAACATTTGCTTACCGGATTGCTATCAGACTCTAGTTCCTCTACCTTTCTTAAACAGCCCAGATCCACTCTCCTAGGGTTTTACCGGGATAGGATGGGCTTTTCTAAACCAACTAGTAATCAGGAAATTGTCCTCACAGACATGTCTACAGGACAATCTGATAGAGGCTGTCTTCAGCCAACTTTCAGTTTGTGACAACTTAACAAGATGAAACTAACTATGAAAATTATTTTTGTCTTTGTAAAAAAATCACCTGATAAAGTAACCTAAAGCGGTTAATCAGGATGAGGAACGTGTGGGAGAGTTCACAGTAGCAAGAGAATATAGTTGGGATTCCTTATAAATCAGTGGATCAGGAAGCAGTTAGCATGGGCCAGAAACAGGGCTGGGTTTTAACACTCAGTGCCTTCCTGTTAGTGAGTCTCTTCCTTTGCCTGGGACTGTATCAACTACAGGTTCCACAACCTCCAAAGGAGCATGCTAGGGTCCAAGTCTTCAAGTGAATGAACCCACAGGAGACATTTCGCATTCAAACCGTAGTAATTATTAACAATGCTTTTACCATTTCAGTCGTAATTATAATCTTCTGCTTAAAATAATTGCTTTTTAATATTCATATGTGCTCTCTAATTTTCAGAAGTAATTCACATACTTTCTATTTAGAATGCCATTGCAAGCCTTATTATTTAAACATTTGTTATTTGTCACAATAACAAATGTTTAAATCTTAAGTCCCCTTAAGATCACTAGAAGTTCCCAGAACACTAGTGAAATTTACCACACAGTATATGCATACAAAATATTTTTCTTGTAAAATCTTAAAAATATAACCTGAAGTACAATTTCTAATATAAGTAAATTCAAATGGTAGTCTTAATGAAATCTTTGTCTTTCAGTGGCAAACCTGATGAATATAATCTTAAGGAATGTCATAGTATCAGCATGAACTCTTCTTAGTTCCGTTATTGAAGAACACACACATCATCTTTAAGATATGGAGATTTATTAACCTGTTATATACACTAATAATTGGAATTTATCCATCTCATCAAGATGCTCTTTAAAATATAAGCATATTATTCATGCTATTAACATGATTTCAAGTTGATCTGAAGAGGACCTGAGAGAAAAAGCTAATCAAAAAGGACTTGCATAGAAAACTTTTAAGCCATTATAAAATCACAATTAATAAAAAATTCTGTAGAAATTTGTTACCTCACAAAGTGAGGAAATGGTTGCAATATGCAAAAACAAGAAGTCTCTATGTGAGTGCAGCCTGAAGCTGATGTCTAACATTTGAGCTAGCCAGCCACTAGCTTATATATAGTTTATTTGGATGCTGTTGTTTTATGAACTAGTTGATACTGGATATTGATATTGGAATAGATATTAAGGATTGAGCACACAAGAAAAAAGTTGCAAAGAAGGATATAAAATATAGCCAAAAGAGAATCCCATCCTAACAGATGCACAGACTGCATGTTAAAAAGATGAACAAGAGATATGAACAAAAAGGCAATGTGACTCTACCAAAAATACTCAGTTCACCAGTAACAAAATCTAGTGAAATGTCAGACAATAAAGTAAAATTTCTAGTTTATAAATCACCCATTACCACAAAGGGAATTAAAACAAAAAGGTAGCCTTGTCAATAAAAGGTGGTGGGTAAGCTGATATCCACATTTAGAAGAATGAACTTATGTCCCTTTCTCTCACCCTCTAAATATTCAATTCAAAATGGACCAAAGTCATTAATGCAAGACTTAAAACTTTGAACCTACTAGAGAGAAAACACTTCAAGATGCATGCCTAGGAAGAGACTTTCTGAAAATTAGGACTCCAAATCCAAGAAAATAATATCAAGAACTGACAAACGAGATTGCATAAAATTGAAAAGCTTCTGTACAGCAAAGGGAAATTAGCAGTTTGAAGCCTGCATGGTGTGAGAAAGTCATTGCAGGATTCATGTGGCAAAGCATCAATGTCCAGAGTCCACACAGAACTGTAAACTCTAAGTGCTGAAAGAACAACTAGCTCCTCCACTAAGTGGGCAAATGCAGTCAGCAGAAAGTTTTCCAACTGTGGAGTACAAGTGACTAGTTAATACATGAAAAGGATTCAACATATATGGACATAGAGTAAAGACAAATCAGAATGTACCATTGTCCTATTTCACTTCACTCAGAATAGCTATAAAAAACATTGGCTTGGCAAGGATGTGTGGAAAGGAACCCTATATGTTCTTATTATGAATATGAATTGGTTAATTGCTTATGGAGATTCCTCAAAAACTAATAATAATAGAAGCAGCATGAGGTTTTGGTATGCCACTCTTAAGTGTATACCTAGATGAAAGAGTCAACACAAGTATTGGAACACCCACCCTATTGCCCTGTAGCACTACTCATGACAGCTGAGTCATGAAGTTAGCCTAGAATAAAGAAAATGTGGCCTATACACATAATAAGCTTTTATTAAGCTGGAAGGATGAGCAAAATTGTGTAATTGGCAGGAAAATGGAATGAGAGGCCATCATATTAATTAAAAGGGCCTGATTCAGAAAGACGAATTGTGCTTGTTTCTTCATTAAAAAAGAAAGAAGCGGAGGGGGGGGAAGACATGAATGTAGAAGGGGGTGAATTTGGGGAAGGAAAGCTAAAAGAAACTAAATAGAGACAAAAGAATGTAAAGGATTAAAATAATCATCTGCCATGATGAAATCGATTATTTTATAAATAATACATACTAATAATACTTTAGATAGAAAAGAGAAAATATAAGTCCATTTGGAAGTGTTTGTTTTACATGTACATTCATTAGTGATTGGAGGGGCTGAAGTTCTTCATGTCTGCTTTTTAAAATAAATCAAATTTTATGTTTTTTTCTTAAACTCGCTTAAAGTATTTTTAATCAATTGTTCAAACTTAATAGTAATATACTATAAAAATGTTCAAGGCAAGAAATATCAAGAGTTATGTTAGATGATTAGAAGAAGGTGAAAATGCAATAACATTTACCATTTGCTTTCTCTTGTATTTTAGGTGGATGATTTATTTGCATCTCTGCAAAAGTAAAAGTAAAGTTAATATTAAATCTGTTTGATTACATTACAAGTGAGAGCAACAACAACAACGACAAATGGGTGAGAATTCAAACTCTTTAACAGTGACAAATCCTTCCGCTGATGTAACACTATATAGGGAAGGCATAAAACATCACCAAGACACACTTCCATGTATTTATATTTCCTCTGTAAGGAATAATCATCCATGTCACACTAGCAACAGGAACACTCAGGAGGTCATCTTCCCTGATGTCCATCTGTGACACACACATCTTGGACATTCTTCTACAGCCAGTTGCCTTAATCCTCACCTTGACAATAAAGTTCAATTTCTGAATGCATTAAACCTTGGGACATGAATGGAATCCATCTGCAAAAAACAAAAAACAGAAGAAGAGAAAAAGAAAACAAGATTCGTTTTCTTAGTTTTTATAAAAAGTTGAGTTTACTTCATTTCTGTAACATTCAAAGGTAACTATAGCAACAGCTTTTTAAAAAAATGGTCAAGCCCAATCCAACATATTACATCCTCATTTTTAGGTTTCAAACCCAGGACAAATGGCTGAGGTGCCCATTAACATATCAAAGCATATCCTGGCCACCAGATTCTTCTATTATCCCTAAGTTTCTATTACAGGAGCCTTCAGGCTGGCATACTCCACCCCTACCCTGAGCTCTCCAGTCCAGGTATTGGGCTAGGCTTTCCTCTCTTGGCTCCTATGTAATGCAGACATTTTGGCTATGTCAGCTGTCTCTTGGTCAGTGGCCACTTTCTTCCTTCTCCTACTCTCATATAACCCAGCTCAGGGTCATGTTCACTCTGGATTCTCCCAGATGTCTCTGCCTCTGTCTGAGCTCTCCCTTTTTATCAACAATAAGCCTTCTCCAAACCACACCTTCTATCTACAATAAAGCTCCTCTATCATACCAAGAAGAGTTCACTTCCTTACTTTTTTATTTATTTTCTTCATTCATCTAGTGCCCAACCCTCAGGAGTGACATTAAATGAGTTCCCTTCCACAGAACCAAACTGCTGGTTTGACTATCCTAAGGTATGTAGGAATCATTTCTCCAGCCATCCATCAAATTTAACCCCAAATTCTAGAGTATTTCTACTCAGCTTCTTCTCCCTTCCACACACTCTAACCATTTCTCTCCTTGTCTATGCTATGAGTGTCTCTCTGGCTCCTAGAGTCTTTTACACACACGCCTGGGCACTTGTCTTGCATCTCTGACTCTGGCCTACTACACTAGTCTGGGTATCTGTACTAAAGACACTTAGGGTCTTCCTTTTCCCCTACTCAACTAACTTTCTCTTACCCCCACCCCAGGAACTGCTGCCCTGCCTGTAGTACCAAGCTATCTCCTGGCTCTTGCCTGCAGCTCCCTCCAAAAGTTTCCTCTCCCCTCTCAGAGACAACTGGTCTATCTCTCCTTGTGCCCTCCAGGGCCTGTACACTTTGAGTTTTCTTGTCTCCACCTGAGAGCTTCCTGCTAAGTCCCACAATTCCCTTAAACCCTTCTGGGACCCTAAGACTGCCCCTCCTCTCCCTCCTGGAAGCTTTGCACCTCCTCTATGCCCTCACGGCATGGCCTCTATGATACTGGAACCTTCCCTATGATGGAGTTCATTTTGTGAGTTCTCCTCCTTTTCTTCCTGGATACAATTCCTTCCTTAAACTCAGATATTCAGTAAAATCTTACTGCAAACAGCTTGGCTTCAGTACAGATCAATGGCCAAAGATGGCACATGCAATTTCCAAACTCTCACAGATTGTAAGAACTTCTGCCACTGCACAAATAAATGATCCCAAAATCTCTTTGGTCTAAATTTTCTCTGCTCTACACTTCCCACTCTTAAAAATCTTTTATCCCTACAATTTCTCTGCACTCTGATCTTTATAAAAAAAATCTCTTAAGACTATGCTATAAACTCTCAGGATTTAGAAGTTCATTGGGTATAGTTTTCAAAAAATCTATAAAGTAACAAAATCAGGCTTTAAATGTATAATTAAAGACTTATAACTTAAAAGTCTATGCCTAGGTAATCTTAATTTTCTATAATTTACTGTATATTTGATTCAACTCATACTTAAAATATACTGTATTTGAAATAGTCACATGACTGGCAATCATCTTTGCTAAGGTTGAAGAGTATATGTCATGTAACATCACCTTCTTAAAATGAACCACATTGTATAAAGCAGCAATTATACACTTCTTACTCATAATAAACTCTCTGCTCATCATTATGTCACCTTTTATACTAAGGAGACAGCAACACATCTCTAAAATGTCTTGGATTAAATATAATCAAAGTTTACAAATTCCTAAGGGTATAAAGATCTTCTTAAATAAAAACTGAGTTAAGATGTACATATAATTAGTTATGTGTAACATGTATTCTTTCCCCTCAGCTGCCTGGTTCCCACCACTGTCTCAGCCCCCAATTAACACACAAGACACTATATTAATTATGAAGCTGTTGGCCATTTGCTATGGTTTCTTAATGGCTACCTCTGACTTAATTATTAACCCATAATTACTAACATATATTTTTATAAGTTCTGATTGTACCGAGGACACAGCCTTATGCGTCCTCTCTGCCTGGGTTTACATGGCGACTCCCCTATCTTGACTACATTCCCAGAATCCTCCTCGACTCCTAGTCCCACCTATCTTGCTTCCCTATTGGCCAACAGTGTTTTGTTTATCAACCAATAGGACAACATATACATAGAAAGTCTTCCCCCATCAGTTATGTCTTTGCCAACTGTGCTCAATACCAAGTTTCTAAAATATTTTGCATAAAGAACAACACAGGTATGTCTAATAGGTAAGATTTGTAAATTCCAAATGTACACTCAGTTTATAAATAACTGACTTAAAGTTATTTGCCTTTGTTAACATTGTTAAGCTTTAGCTATCTGGATAAACTGAGTCACACAAGAACCAATGATATTCTGTAACCCAGACAGTCTATGGACTATGTTTATGGTTTCAAGATTTATGTTGAAGCTAAAGGATCTTCAATTAAATCTTCAATTCAAATTTTTAAGGCTCAAAATTAACAGGGATAAAGTTATAAAATCCTAGTCTTAAAATGGGATGGGGAGGCTGGTGGGGGCATGGGAGAAAGGGAGGGAGAGGAAACTGGAATTGATATGTAAAATAAGATCATTTCTATATAATATAAAATAAAAATAAATAAATAATAAATGAATATTAACTTGAAAAGTGTTACATATTTCATTAAATTCCAAGCTTTATTTAGCTTCTTATGTGTTTTCAAGGTTAAGCCTAAAATAAGTAAATAATTCAAATATACTTAATAGATGGTCCTCAAACCCTTAGAGATCTGCTGGATATGACATTTTAATTGTTTAATAAAAAAGTTTTCCATCATAGACAGAACTGTCTTCTCCTAGCAAGAACCCCTAAGGTCTCCAAAGAAGACACATGGGACACTCCTCCTGAATTGTAGTAATGCTAACCACTGGGCAAAGAACTGCCCCATGTCTTGCCTGTTGCCAGGGTCCTCCACAAATGATGGATGCTTTTAGGTTAACTGCTGCATTTTTCCTGGCCAACATAAAGTCAGTTTTCCCAAGTGCCTTCTCCACGAGAAAATCTCTCAGACCTGGATCTGACAGTCAAAGGCCATGCTGCTCTGTGTGACAGTTAACGACTGAATGCTGTCTTCTATAATAGCTGGATACCCACCACTGGAAACTATGGAGACTGTGGGAACCTAGGACAGCCATCTAGGTAGTGGGTAAGTCTCTGTCAAATCAATTGATACATAGGACATTTGTATTATGTTTCCAGCTATTATTTAACTTTCTCAGATCTCTGATGGCATTGATGACTAGGCTAACTGTAGCTTTGTCTAGCAACAGCAAGCCTAAGAGCTCCTCCTCCAAGGCTAAGTGCCCTTTCTTCATATGTAAAAATCAGGCCTCAGGCCTCAGTTTCCTATAGTACCAGGTCTCCAGCTGAGAAAGATAGTTCATTTGCTACCAGATTCTGAAAAGTGATAAATTAACCCAATATCATTTTGGGGTTCCCAAGCCTTTACTATGACTCAAAGGCCAGAGTCTACTGCTTTTTCTACAGTGTGGATTTCAGTACAGGTTACAAACAGTGGGAACACTAACATATCTAAAACTTGTATCTCTTTATATAAACTCAAAAAATTCTCATAAGCTTGAGGGAATCAACTTGAATCCACCTCCTATAGGTTGAATATGCTCCAGTCAATTACTCTTAAGTTTTCCTACCTGCCTATTCCTGAGGGTGGCTTGCCTGGTCTTGGGACTCACCTCCCCCAACTACCAGGACCCAGTCCTGGAAGTTCCAAAGGTACACTTTAGATAAAAATTTTCCCCTGAGTGCCTCAATTTGATCTCTCTCATATATATCTATTCCAACAGATTCCCAATCAACTAAACACTGAAAACTACTCCAAACTCACCAACCCCAGGCCTTTCCAACCAGCCTGAGTATCTACATCCTAGATGACTCCAGAGCTACTGCCCACTGGTGGCCCCATCCCAAACTGCTCCAAAGATCCCTGCACATCCCTAGCCCCACATGGTCCCCCAGAGCCTGTTCCATTAGTGAAACAGTCTGCTTTTCCTGGCCTTGACCAGTATTCCAGATTTTTTGTGTCTCCAACAGCAACAATGGCAACAGGAAGTATTCATAGAAAGGACTACATCACCCTCATTATTTATTTATTATCAAAGAAAAAAGGTGGGATATCAGGTCTCCAACCCAGGATAAATGCTAACTGAGCTGTCCATTAACATATCAAAACAGTCTCCTGCTACCAGATCCTTGAATCATCCCTAAGTTTCTACCTGTTACAGGGCCCTCCTTGCTGGCATACCCCCCCACCCTGAACTCTCAAACCCAGGTATTGGGCTGGGCTTCCCTCTCCACTGCTCCTCTGGCCCCTATATAGCTCAGCTGTTTTGGCCTTGCCAGTCTCTTGTCCCAGGCCACACCTTTTATCTACAATAAACCTTCCCTTCATCATACCTAGGTCACATCCTTGCTTTTTTATTTCTTTTTTCCATTGACTCATCATTTGGTTATATTGTAGTTATAGCATGTAGAATAAAATGTCCCTGAGTGGACTTACCAGACTCAATCACCAGTTTCCAGTGAAAGTCACAGGAGCTGCAGCAAGCAGCACTGAGCCAAACTAAGGGAGACTTTTCACAGAAAACATAAACTTCACATTTTAATCTTTCCTTTGTGAAAGTCTGTCTTTCTGTCACATGCCTTGATGTAAAATTCTTTCCTCAATATCTGAATTATATTACCTTAAAGCACATTGAAAATGTAAACAGTTTGGAGAATATA